CACAGAACGACGTCGCGCGTAAGTCTCTCGTGTTTGTTTCTGCTATTTTCAATAAGTTTTGATGCACGGTCTTCAGTGGGTATGTGTATGTTTTTCCTAATAGCTGGCCGCAGCTTCTGCTGCATCAGCGGCTCTCTCCTCTTTACTCCTGTGCTTGGTCACGCGCGCCGCGATGATCGTGATGTCGTCCGGCATGCCTCCACCCCACAATAAGTCGTTTTCCTTGGCAAGCCGTGCGAAGGGCGAGTCCCGCGTCCGGTCGAGCGACAGGTCGTAGGCCTTCTGCACCAGCTTGCGCGTCATGGTCTCCAGGTCGGGCTCGGCCCGCACAATCTCGAGCAGGACTTCCTCGTCCACGTTGTCGAAGAGTCCGTCCGTGGCCAGAATAATTAGGTCTCCTTCGAGCACAGGTACCCGCAGTCTCATACCGTTCTCCGGGGTCTCAAACAGCGGCTTCTCGCGCATGGGCGAGTGCGTTCCTGTAGCCAAGTCGTCCACTACGTCGCTGACGAGGTCGGCACCTGCGAAGCCCAGCTGGAAGGGGCAGTTGAAGTAGTGCAGCTGCTGAGGCGAGCGGTACGTCACGTGAGCTCCCTTTCGTCGGCCAGCAGGCGTCAGGTCCTGCTCGCGGTTGATGATCTTTCGCATCAGCGAGCCGTCCAGCGTACCGCGCAGTCGTGCAGTCTCGAGATCCGACGTCTTGTCGCGGATGATAAGGAAGCCCGAGTCTCCCAAGTTGACGCCATGCAGCTCTCCTTGCTCCGGGTCGAGTGCCAGCACGCAAGCCGTTGAACTGCCGACGATTTCCTTCTGGAGCACAGTTGACCACGCGGCGTGCAGCACCTCTGACGGCTCGATATCGTGGTCCTTCGCGTACGAGACCTGTACTGCCTGGTGCGCTGCAACCATCAGCTCCTGCGCATACTGTCGAGCACTCACTCCCTTCTCGAACCACGATCCCACTCCGTCAGCGACACCCATTGCCAGCACATCAACCGGTCCCTGCGTGCCATTCGTTACTGTCGGGACAGACGGATCGATATCAATGGGGCGCTCTTCCGGCACGGGAGCTGCCGCACCGCCTTCCTCTTCTCCGTGGGGCACGACGCCCAAGAAGAAGGCGTCCTCTCCACCTGTATCCTTCTTCGCCGGGTGTGGGATCGACATGGCGAACGAGTGCAGGTAGTACGACCAGTAGTTCGGGTGGACGCTCTTGCTATTGACGGCAAAAACAAAACACAAAACCCACGTCAGATCAGCACCAAACACCATAAACTCCACTACAATCGCCCGTACTGCTGCACGACGGTCTGGTCCAGCGAGGTGTTCGCCGGTAGTCCCTTGCGTGGCAAAATGAGGTTGATATAGTCCGACTTGGCACTGCAGCAACAATCATCAACTCTTGATCAGCAACCCCCCAACACTGAGCATCTCAAATACCCTCCACATACCTGGTGGGGTCGGGATTCAGCTGCGCGTCGTGGCGATGGATCAGCGACGCAATGTCCGTCAACGACACCGTGCCCAGCAACTTGCTCCCCTGCAGCACCGGCAGCTCCCCCACCCCGGACAGCGCCATCACTGCTCGGCACTAAAAAAGCCCAATAATAATAATAAAATTAGTCATCTTCCTCATGAAAAATAAAAATTCTCTCCACGCACGTCTTCGAGCGAGTCCTCGGGCGACACATGCAGCACCTTCCTGGCGGGGATCGCCACCTCCGACACCTAAAACGCACACAACCCCCAATTATCCATCAATCGTATAAACACGCCGCCCTCCCTCCCAGCAGACTCTACCCCGGTAGAACCGCCCTACCTTCATGTTCCAGTCCGAGCGCTTGCCCGTGGAGCGCATGCGCACCACGCGCTGCAGCGCCAGGCGGTTGGTGATGAGCCCCACGACCTGGTGCTGCCGGTTCACGACCACGAGCGTGGCCGAGTTCTCGTTCTGCACCAGGCACTTGACGGCCTCGTCCAGCGTCTGGTCCTCGAGGATGTAGTTGGTCTGCTTGCTGCGGAACTGCTTGGACACCTCCAGCAGGTCGGCCACGCTCATGCGCGACGGCGACGGCAGCGGCTTGGCGCTGGAGAACGCGCGCGCGCGCGCGCTTGAGGACGGAGGAGACGCCCACGAGGCGCAGGCGGAGAGCGCGGCGACGGCGCGTGGCAGGCGCGAGGCCGAGGGCCGCAGGCGGCGCCCGGCCGCGAGCGCGACGAGCCTCTGCATGGTTTGGACGGAGCTATTGGGATAATGGGTATTTATGTCTGGGAATTTGGGTGCTCGCGGGATGGGGACAAAGCCGGACTTATTTTTTTCTCGCACTTAGTGCGGACTAAGTGCGGAGTTGTTGAAGATGGAAGATCGGCGTCTGGTTGAAGTGAATGAAATGAAGCCCAGCGTCGTTTTATTCTTTTCTTGTCTTCTTTTTTTTCTTTGGGCCTGGCGGTTTGGACATCATAGACGCCTGAGAGCAGCTAAGTGCCGCGTAAAGATTAAGCTTGGGGCTGAGCCGGACGGCTGATTTTTTTTTCTTATAGAAGTGTCGCTCGGATGTTGATCGCTATTCGTCTGCAGGTGGATAAAAATACTGTTAGCTTACGTACGATATGTGTGCTGCTGGTGGAAGACAACGGAGGCTGGGGCGGGCAAGACGCAGCATCCGAATTCGTATGTAACCCCCATGGGATGAGTGAGTTCACGATTCCTGATCGCAATGTACCATCGTAAGTATGAAGACCGTCCTGGTCAAGGGGGTCCTGCCAGCTACTGTACGGAAATAGAGTTAGCGATTTTTGTCCGTTTTGACGAATATAGTACTTCCTAGCGAGTATCGTTCGTGTATTGGAGCACGTTGGCACGAGAAAGGGTCCAACGATTAGGACCTAGTATTTGGTATTTCACCACGAAGCCCCAACCATGCAGAGCGTTGCCAAACCTTCAAGCCATGCCGACCTTCCGAAGTCACCTAGCCAGCGCCTTAGTAGTGTATTGAAAAGAGCTATGAGCGTGACCGGTCTTGTCGCTGAAGACCCGCAGGAATTAGAGCGCAAAGCAGCAGCCGACCACGAAGCCCTAGTGCAGCGATTTCAACTGCGGAGAGGCTCGACTGGCAACATTTCCGTCGGCAAACCTTCGAGCCCAAGCTTTGGTGACGCTGCATGTAGTGGGAAGACGGAAGGATCCATGGGAAAGTTGATTGCCAGCAATGACTTTGGACTGCTGGATCGGCAAAACACGTGTCTCCGAGCGGTGACTTCTCCGCTCTTACAGGGCCATCTCGCCAGCACCTGCCACAATGTCCTAATGCTCGGCGCCTACCACTTGCAGGTCTTCTACCTTCCGTTCGCTTATACGTTCTACCCGAATGGGTCAGTTGAGACGGTTCGCACAGGTCTGACGCTGCAGCTAATCCACCTTGTGGACCTCATCCTGAACCTCAACACAGCGTTCATTAGGAAGCGCAAGATCGTGACGTGCCGGAGAGAAATCGCGCAGAACCATATCACCAAGTGGTTTGCACTCGAGCTGGTCTCCGCTGTGCTGGTCAGTATCGCCTTCGGGTTCGAAGACAACTTGCCGAGCCAGATTCCTTGGATTTTGCTCAACTACGACGCTGTCTTGATAGCGCTGCGGGTGTTCCGCGCTGCCATCAACTCGCAACAATTCTGTCTCAGCCACGTACTTCGAGAGAACAAGCAATTGGCGTCGTGGTTCCAGTACTCGCACTTGCTCGGGATTGCAAAGCTCATGTGGCTTACAGTGCTTGTGGCTCACTACATGGCGTGCTTATGGCATGTCGTAGCGAAGCACCACGATACTGTCGCCAGCGTTGCAGAGCAGTACGTTGCCGACGTGTACTACGCGGTTCAACTCACTCAAGGCCAGGGGGAGTCAGCGGCACGTTGGCGGAGAATCTCCTGTCGACTTGTGCCATTCTTGCGGGCTCTGTCATCCTCGCTATCGTGTTCGGCAACGTCGCGCTGCTCGTCTCGAGCTTTAACGCGAACAAAGTCAACTTCGAGCAGAAAATGCACGGCGTGTTCGCCACCATGGACAAGATGGGGCTGCCCCTCAAGCTGCGTGAGCGCGTGCAGCAATACTACGCCCACGTGTGGATGGAGTACGATGACGTTGTCAAGTTCAAGCGGGAGCTCACACACAGCCTGAGGCTCGAGGTCCGGCTGTTCAAATACATGGATCTGATAGGCAAGGTGGCATTCTGGGAGCACTGCTCGACCGACTTTGTGATGCAGATCATCCGCAACCTCGGAGTTCGCGTCTACCTTCCAGACGACTACGTGGTCCGGAAAGACGAAATCGGCGACGAAATGTTCAAGATCAACCGCGGTATTTGCATTATGTCGGAGGTTGCAAGACGAGCCCGGTGAGTGATCGAGCTGACAGAGCTGTGTGGGCTCCAAGCAATTCGTCGCCGAGACGGCTGTCCCAGACGCTGCCGTGGTGGGGGGAGAGTGTTCGAGCTCCCATTCACCCGACAAAGAGCTCCACGTGTGAAAATGCCGACTCGGACCGGGAACGAAATGGCCAAGTTTTACTTTATCCTGGCCAAGCGTTTGGCGAGCTGAGTCTGCTGATGAACTACAGCGCACGGCCACTATTCGAGCTCAAACTTATGTTGAGGCGTGCACGCTTGACCGCGCCACTTTCCAACGCATCATCTCTCGCTACCATGAAGATAGGCGAATCGTGCTGACTACAATGCTGAGAAGCTGTATCGATAGACAAGAGCTTCCGAGTCCACTGAGCGAAGTTGTTGGCGCCGTGACAGATCGGATAAAGGAGAAGGAGCTCTTTGATTCTTCGCAAGTGGAGAAACAACAACAGTGGCGTCGACGGAGATAGTGGAAGGCTTGGTGGCATGGATTGACGAGAGTTTGCCGGATGAGACGATCAAGTATGGCTTCCAGGAGGCGAAACTAGCCCAACTGGTAGCTTGTCAAGATGAAGCTGGGAGAAATTTGTCGAGTGATGACTCTCTGGGGGCGCCTAATAGGGACGGGAGGACAGTCTCACCAGAAGAGACACGGCAACGGAATCTCGTCTTGCCGAAATGAAGAAGAAGTTGGCGGCAGTGGTGGATCTCATGGGTGCCGTGTCTGCGAGTGTGGAGCGCCTAGAAATGTATGCAAAAAGTCGGAATGAAGGCTCGAGCACAAGTTGCTCCAACTGCTCGGCAGCGCGCACAAGCAACGGTGACTTACCAAGAATTCGCCCGTCTGGTAGCCAAGTGCATGGATATGAGGCAACGCTAGCCCCTTCGATAGATAGACCATCAGTACCCAATGGCGAAGCTTCCTCCAAAAGTTCGGCTTCCCTAGTTGTACCGCCCAAGCAACCAGCAAACACAGTAAGTCATCGAGTGGACGCAGTTAGGGCTGATCCAGACAAGCAGGATCGAAATGAGACGCTAGCAGGTCGGCCACACGCATCCACGTCTGAAGCCGAAGAAGCACACGACTTTGGGGCCGCGCGATATTCAGTTCAAGAACGTGACTGCAAGCACCAGCCCCCCAAACACCGCCACAATCGCGTCGGTATCGATGCTGAGGGCAAAGAGAGTCTTCTGAACCACACGCAGCTCGAACTTTCCAGCCGCGATTGAGCTCACTGACTGCGCAGATAGTTCCTGCGGAGTAGCACTTTGAGTCGCAGTGTTCATGAGGTTAAAAACAATTCAACTTGAGGCCCTTCATAGTGTTTTCCTACTCAGTCGGAGCGTTACTGCCATGTGCTGTACTGCTGTTCAATGTTGCGCTCGATTTCATTGAGGTTCTGCGTGTCTGGGCCATGGTAACCGCGTCAATGATGACTCGGCTACCCCGTCGTTTGACTCTCCGGTGGTGTACGTGAGATCGGCCAGAAGAGGGAAAACTACATGTAGAGCGGGTGCGGAGTTCTCCTGCTAGTGGTCTCCAGCCGTCGCCATCGAGTTTCGATGAGCTCTTTTGCTCGCATTGATACCGTGTTAGTCTCGCCATAACTCGTCCGTCACTGTTGACTCGCTACGCGGGGTCGAGCTCCTCGCGAGCCAACCAAGCGGATAGCTTGGTCCGTCCGGTACGTTAGCTTCGGAAGCGTTCGCAGCTACCTGGCTGTCGATCGCTGCTGCAGGAGCTTCAACCGTGTGATTGGCTAATGCCGAATCAATCCAGCTAGCGCCCAGTATGGGCCTCTCCGTCATGGAATCTGGCGTTTTGTAGGGACGACGAACAGCCGGAGTATTGTCCTCAATCACACCATTAAGCTCGAGCTTTCGAGAAATTGGAGCTAAGCTAATACTTGACGCGCTGTTCCGCCTTCGTTTTGAAGGCTGAAGAATTGCGGGTCTCGTTCTCTTGTTTGATGCGCACATTCGAGGTGTTCCGAGCTGCTTCATGCCCAATATGCACTGGACAACACTTACAAAACCGCTCGTCTCGTGTCAGGACGAGGTTTTCCAATCGTTCGATACTAGCGGACATTGACGTCATCATCTCCATCATCGCTGCCAAAGTCTTCTCCGACTCAGCTTCGCTTGTGTCTTCTCCTTCCTCTGATCAGAATCCAGATCGTAGTCACTCTTGTGTGGGTGGACATGAGCTCAGATACCCTCACTAAAGGACCCACCCCTGAAAAATGGCTTAGGTTTGGGCTGGGAGACTCGTCCTGAGGCTCAGCGACTTATTCATGGGCTGAACTATCCGAAGTATGTACTGCCACTGCCACCTCCGGAGGATTGGTCGCTTGAGCTGACCACGATATTCACGTTCAGTTGTTGCGCTATCGCTGGGTCCGTAACCTCACAGATGCCTCGATTGATCATGAACATCTCCGCGCCAGTGTCCCCCTTGCGGACAACGTAGTCGTCAGGTAAGTAAACTCGAGCTTCTAAGCTGAGGATGATCTGCGTTGCAAAGTCTGGAGAACAGCTCATGTACTTGTACAGTCCGACCTCGAGTCCGAGTGTGTGGGCCAATTCACGCTGGAACTTGACGATGTCACCGTCCAACGACTCGTACTCCATCCAGGCGTGGGTGCAATACTGGTGCACGCGCTCTCGCAGCTTGAGCGGGAGCCCCATTTTATCCATCGTGGCGAAAACTGCCTCCATCTTCTGGTAGAAATTCGTCGTGTTGGCGTTAAAGTTCGACACCATGCCGAACACGATATCCAGGATAGCGGAGCCGGTCAGGATAACAAAGGTCGACAGTTAATTCTCTCCCCATGTGCCGTTGTGGTTTCCTTGGCCTTGGATCAGCTGAACAGCGCAGTAAAAGTCGGAACGTACTGCACGCTGACAGGGGCCATGACATCACAGTGATTTTCTTCGACAATTCAAGATGCGGAGTGTCATTAGCACAGCGTCGTAGCGCAAGAGGGACCTTGAGGCGTGCTCTGTTATGCTGTCACTAAAGCTGTACGCGGCACTAACCAGTACGGCTGACACCAGTTCCAAAGGAAGCCACACACTGACGTTGTTCCACGCGATGAGTCTTCTTGACTTCACGAGCTCGTGCTTTCGTCTGAAAGCCGTGTTGAAGGTCAGGATTAAGTCCACCAAGTGAAGAAGCTGCAACACCAGACCGACGCGAATGGTTCCGACCGATCCGTTCGGGTAGTAGACGTACGATAACCACAGGTAGAAGATCTGGAACTGGACGACGCCAAACATGAAGAGTCCGTGACAAGTGTTGGGGCAACCTCCAGGCCGAATGGACGACGTGACGGTCTGCCACGCTTGATACCACGTCTTTCGCCTTGTCAGCAGCATGAGACTGCGAGGTGACAGCAATCCATTGTTGCCGTCGTGGGGGGCCTGTCGGACATTCTCCGGAGCTGGAAGCGCTGCATCATGGCTTCATAGTTGGCCGCCTTCAGCTGGAGCTCGTACAGGTTACGGGACGACAGTCTCATGAGCATCGGCATTTTCAAAGTACTGGAGCGTCGACGCTGTATCGGCTGGATGTTGGTGTTCTCCATGGTGAGTGGGTGAGTGGCTTGTGCTTGCTTGTTTCCCGGGTTGAATTGTTGTGTGGCGTTTGTTCTACTTGTACCATGCTGGATGGACTCGTTGACGACGCAACGGCAAGTGCATTATCTCCAACTGTTTCATGCTACTCCAAGGACACACACAGTCCCGCGAGCAAGTACAAGAGGACGAGCTCATTGCAATAAAAATGAGAGCTGAAAGCTTTACCTGAAACAACCGTCGGTTGTGTGATCCAAATTTGAGTCGACTGGTGAAGGACGAGGGCGTGGAAATTTCTACTCAGTAACAGCGACTTCACATGGTATACAGGTTAGAAGCCAAACAAGCCCTATGTAAAATCTGCGGTACGCAAGTGTACAACCTACCTGCAGCTTTTGCACTCCCAAGAACAACCGGAGCGGTAAAACGGCCGGACTAACGTGCCGACAGTATCCGATTGACAAGGACACCTTTCGTTGGTTTTCTGGAGCCAAAACGCTCAGTCGGGGCAGGTCCTTGATTTATGCAAATCTTTACTTACACCAGCAGCTCGGGGCTATTTGCGCTCGAGGGGTCTCTATCTCGCGTGTCTGGAGCCAAATTGTGTTGCGCTTACGCCTCGCAAAATCTTGTTGCGTGTGGCTTAAACCAAAAGCTGGATCATATTGCACCTGAAGACAGACAGCATAGCACCGCCGCCCCATACTCCGCTATACCCTGTTTCACGCACTCTTCTTCTTCATCTCTTGGTAGTATCGACGGTGGTCCGGGTCCAGCTCGATCGCGCGCTCGTACAGCTCCACGCTCCTCTTCTTGGACTCCTCCCACCCGTTCACGTCGGTGATCGCTCCGAGACGGTAGTGCAGATCGGCGAGCGTGACGACGACCCACTTGGCCTCCGTCTCCATCTCCAGCAGCTCGTCCAGCCACTGCACCTGACTCTTGAGGAATCCCGCAGCGTCTTCAGCCGAGGACTCGACCATCTCCAGCATGGACGTCAGCAGCCAGCGGTAGTAGAACCACGCGCTCTGGTCGTCCGGCTCCGTGAATACAGCCTGCTGGACGAGGCCGATCTCGTCGAACAGCAAATCTGCCGTCAATGGCTCGGGCAGGGAGATGCTGCGGTGGTGCAGTGCCGAGTAATTGGAGAAGTTCTGCTCGATCTTCTGCGTGGTGAACGCCAGTTGGTCCTCCTCGGAGACGCCAGCCAACTTGCACACATGTCGACGGTAGTTCCAGCAGTGGAAATTGCGTTCATCTAAAACAAATATTGGCAAGTCAGCAAAGATAATATTATTGTCACTTTTTGAAAAATAATAATAGGCAAAGTCACTCTTACCGAGATCCAGGAGCTTGTCACACAATCCGATTTCCTTCTTGAGGTCGCCGAGCCCGCGATCGATGATCCACTTGCGCTGGAACCACGCCGAGTACGACTTGGGGTTGCGTTGCAGCGCGTCCTAATTTAAATAATAATTCAACACAATAATATTGTCAGTGTTGCCATCACCCACCCAGGTTAGGCTAGTGCTAACCATGCTAGTTAGCACTCTCTAACCGGCGCAACAATTCTCTAAAACTCCTCACCAGTGTCAGTTTGAGCTCGGTTTTTGCCATCTCTTGCATCTCGGCCGGCGGGTCCTGCGCCTTGGCTGCCAGCGCGTCGATCGCCTGGCGCCGGTAGCTCCAGACCACGTGGAACTCGGGGTTCAGCAGCAGCAGGTGGCTGGTCAGCGGCAGCGCGCTGGGCTCGTACAGCTGCTGGCGCTTCATCTCCAGCACCTTGCCCGCCACCTCGTGGTACATGCGCACCTTGGAGAGCTCCTCCTGGCGCTGCGCATCCGTCTTCTGCTGCTCCTTCTCGCGCTCTACGCTCTTGACGCGCCCGTGCATGGCGGCAGGGTTCCTAGTTGGGTTTTTGTGGGTTGGGATATCCCGGAGTTACCCACCCACCCACCCCGACAGTTCGAACAGTGGGTATTGGGTGGGTTATTAAAAACCCACCCACCCCGCTAAAATCGGTGAAAATCTGTGAAAATCGGTGCCCGGTCGGTGCCTGGAGTTGAATGAACTGAACTTTGAATTGAATTTGAATTGCAAATGAATTGATAAAAGGGAATAGGGCTTGTAAAAACCCATACCCACCCACCCCATATTTTTGTCTTCCTATCGATCGCTCTTGGAAACCCGGGTTTTCCAGAACCCTGCATGGCGCGCGATAGTGATCTTCCGGTTGTCACTCGAGCGGGGATCAAGCTAATTTTTGTACCCATTTTGTGGTACAGCAGCAAGCAGCGAAGATAGTGAAGAGCTCTTGCTTGAAGTGCATCATGTGGAGATACTTTGGATATCTATCGAGGATATCCAAGCAGCAAGCATCTAGCTATCTTCTGCTCGGGAGGTTCTCTGCGGGGCATTAGCTCTTTAGGGCCAACTGAGCTGTGTTGCACAGCGTTTTGCGCCCGTGAAACTGCGGCGACGCACGCCATCGCGCGTGGCACCGCTGATGCGGCTGTCTTCAAGCACGGCGTTGCCATTGGCAATGTATGGCAGGCACGCGCACACAAAGGACTTCCTGTTAGCGCTCGCTAGCGCTGACTCAATGGTCAAAGTTGCAGTGCTGCAGCTGGCAATGGCGACGTCATGAGGAGCGCATCTCGTAGAACCGCGACGTCTTGGGGCGAGTACTGTAAATTCCCCGTTTAGTGGTCGCAAAGGCTGCAACTTCCTCTGCACGCTGGATAGGCAACAGCCATAGAGTCCGCCCCATGATGAAAGCACCTTGTCCCTCGTCCCTGCTGGAGTCATGTCGTGCGGACGGCGAGTGCGCTTGCATCGTTCGGTACAAATCCCGGGTGCTTCAAGGCCTACCTTACCGCCTTTTCCTGTCGAACCGCCTGAAATGTCTCGGCCTTTTCCTCCAATCGTCGCGCCGCACGGATAAAAAAATCCGACATGGCTTCAATCACGACCGTTGCCTGCATGCGCCACGCTAGGACGGACTCCAGTAGCAGATTCGCCCCATAACGCTGAAGAGAGAACCCCGAACAGTATGAGATCTCGCTGCACGCTCGTGGCGGACCGCACGGACGACGCCGTGCAGATGCTGCTGGGCTTCATCGCGCTGTCGTCGCTGTACGCCAAGTGGCACTTCGAGCGGCCGCGGCGGCCCGCCAAGGTCTGGTTCATGGACGCCATGAAGCAGGGCACGTCGGCCGCCATGATCCACGTCATGAACATCCTGTACGCCATCGGCCTCGTGGACTTCTCCGACACGCCCAGCGACGAGGACCAGGTGCGCGGCGCTATGCGCCTCATCGCTATAGGGAGCTGTTCCTAACCGTGTTATCTCTGACGCAGTGCGCCTTCTACTTCATGAACGTGGTGATCGACACCACGCTCGGCGTGTACATTGCCTATTTATTGCTGCAGCTCTTCACCCTCGTGGCCGTACGTGGCTGCAACTTGCAAGTCTGATGGAGTTGCTGGAGGTTGCTAACTAGTGGTACGTTGTTCTTTTGTGCTGCAGACCCGGCAGCAGTGGACGAGTCTGCGGTGCCACGGGTACTACGGCTCGCCGCCGTCGTGGCGCGTGTGGTGGATGCAGCTGCTGCAGTGGTGCGCCATTCTGACCATCATGAAGGTCTTCGTGGGTGGGGTGCTCTACGCCTTCTCGACGCCGCTGGGCTGGGTGGGCTCGCTGCTGTTCTACCCCGTGCACAACCACCCGAAGATCGAGCTGCTCATCGTGATGATCGGCTGCCCGCTGGTCATGAACATGGTGCAGTTCTGGATCCAGGACAGCTTTCTCATGGACCACGAGCAGCAGAACAGCGAGGAGCTGCCGCTGCTGGACCCGGCCGCGGAAGCCGCCGCCTCGGTGCAGAAGCAGCGCGGCATGTCGAACGTCTCGAGCGCGGCCGACATGTACGAGATTTTGTAGTTGCGTTGCATGTGACGTGTGTGTTACATGGAAGCAAGTGCTCATCTTGAGGAGCTCACAAGGTATTAACGGTTGTTGTTGTTGTCGTTGTTGCTGTGCGTTGCAGGCGAACGCACCCCAGAGACGTCATCGAGCGGACTGGGTGAGCGCGGGAGCGGTTGCCGTCGTAGCGTGCGTTGGATAATTCTTCATATATAACGAGCCTTGCCATATTCCCCCAAGCTGCTCTCGATCTCGATAGACATGTGCGCGTGGTGGATGCCATCAGTTCGAGATGACTCGGCCACTTTTCGCACTCGCGTTCTCAGGGAAGAACGCCCGCCACCTCGAGCGTGAGGCTTCGACGCAGAGAAGACCCATTCCTGCTTCAGATCGAAGGGTCGGAAGCTCCATCATCTGGCGCGATCTTCGACGCCAGATGTATCTCTCCCGCCGTGGTGTCGTGTTTCGGCACCAGAGTGACGTGGCAAGTTGAAGGCAAGTCGAGTTGCTCCTCGGCGTGTAGACGTACAAATCCATAGAGTTACAATGCTTGTTACCACGACACGGAATGCAGCAAGTATAATAGCGCTCGCTCCGCGCAGCGCAGCGCAGTCGGTCAGTCAGTCATAAAGTCCTTCAACAGTTGAGCGCTTTGGAGAGCACGACGATCTCCTCCTCCGAGAGCATGGGCGGCTCGCTGCAGCCGTCGGCCAGCGCGTCTTCATCCTGTTTGTCTGGCCTCAGCTCCCTCTTGACCGCGATCTCCTTGTCCGCCGGCAGCAGCTCGATGTCGCCGAAGCGCATGGACCGGAGGCTCGCGCACATGGAGCAGCAAGACACCAGCGCCTCCAGGAACTCGCAGCGCTCCTTGTACCACTCCAGCTGCTCCTCCATCTCGCGCACGTCCTTCTGCGTGCGCTCGCGCAGGCGGTTGACGGCGATGCGGTTTTTGAGTCGCTTGAGCTCCTTCCCACTCACGCAGATATTGTCGGGGAGCTTGATGGTCTCGCGCTTGCGGCGCTTGCGCTGGATCTCCTTCGACGACGGAGACATCGTCGGCGAGGACAACGCTAGCGTAGTTGCCGACGGCGTGGAAGCTCTCGGAGGAGGCTCCTCCTTGATGGGCGAATCAGGCGCCGCGATGGCTGGTGCAGTTGACGTTGCAGCAGCAGCAACAGACGCAGTGACAGTTGCAGTTGACGCAATAGAAAGCTCCGGGGCGTTGGCATCCAGCGCAGCGACAATCAGGGCGGCGAGCTCTGGCATCTTGTGCGTGTGCGGAGTTTGCCCTGGAGCCGCAGGCGCGGGAGCTGCCGGCTCAGGCTCGGGGGTCACAGGCTTGGGGGCAGCGGTTGAAGCCTTGCGAGGCGCTGGATCAGGCTTGGGGGCCACAGGCTTGGGGGCGACCGGCTTGGAGGCGACGTTCGAAGCCTTGCACGCGCAGGAGCAAGGGGCAGGGGGCGTAGTGGTGCTGGCGCTGGCGCTGGCCAGGAGGTCGTCCAGGCTCTTCTTGGCCTTGGTGAGGCTGCGCGTGGCCATGGGGCGCGTCCCCGGCTCGAGCTTGATGCGGCAGCGGCGGCGCGGCTTCTTGGGCATCTTGGGGCGCATTGCAGAGCGCGGGTGGATTGTCGAACTTGCGGTGAATCGAGGACTGACGTAGGCGCGCGGTGCTCGATCGACGATAGACGAGGCCCCGATCTTGATAATCGGACTTTGAAGCGACCTTCACTCTTGCTCTTCAACTGCAGAATCGTGTGGTGCACGTGAACCCCGTCGAACTCGCTGGCACCCGAAAATGAGAGGTAATCTAGCGCCATCCTCCCCCTGCGTTTCACTGCACTTCAGTATCGACGCAGAGTCTCCGGTAGTCGCAGCAACAATGGCCCGTGGACGCAGAGGAGGCAACGGCGGCGGTGGCGGCAACGGCGCGAGCAACCGCGCAACGCCCTACGAGGGCGCGCGTGAGGGCCGCAGAGGGCGCCGCGGAGGAGGCGGCAGCGGCAACAGCGAGCCCAAGGGCCGGGGCAAGGGCGGACGCGGCCGGCGCGGCGGCGACAAGCCCAAGCCGAAGACGGCGGAGGAGCTGGACGCCGAGATGGACAGCTACTGGGGCAAGTCGGAGGAGCACGCGGCCAAGAAGCTCGACAGCGACATGGACGACTACTGGAAGGCCAAGGACGAGCAGCGTGAGTGCATGAACAATGGGGGCAGGCAGAGGGACAGTAATGGAAGACTGATCATATTGTCATAATGCATTGATCCAGCCAAGGAGGAGGACAAGAAGGAGGACGCTGCTGCAGCCGACGCCGAGAAAAAGGAGGAGGACAAGACGGAGGACAAGAAGGACGAGCCTGCTGCTGAAGAGCCCGCGGCGCCCGCCGAGGAGCCTGCCAAGGAATAGATAGACACAGACACGGAACAGGAAACTACCAAGCTCTTCTTCGCTCTGCCCCCAAGTGGACGCAGCACTGAAGTTGGCCGTCGGTGGCGTGATAAGTGCACATATGCCACTGTTGGTGCCGATGGAGAGGCTCTGCCTGAGGTCTTGCTCTATAGCGCCGGGCCGGAGCGAGGGGGTCTCTTAATGACGACGCGACGAGACGCCACGCGGCATGACATGAAATCTGTATGAACGAATTTCTCCTCGAGCTGAGCTCTCTTCAAATACTTGCATTGCCTGGATGGGACACTCACTATTCTCTTCAGCCGAAGACCTCCTGAAGCTTGCCGATGGCAGCTAGCACTAACCAGAGAACACCCACGATTACCGAGAGCATGGACGAGAAGATAGATATGCGGAAGGCCAGCAGCTCCGAACGTTCGCCAAGCCGGCCCGTAGCTTCACCGTACACCGCGGCGAAAATGCCCATCGTCGCGATGGACGTGATACAAAAGGAGCCCAGGTATGTGCACGACTTGACCGTGTCGTGCAGCCCCACCGCTGGTAGCACGCCAAGGATGCCACCGGGCCCTGCGATGCCGTGCACAATGCCAACCAGCAACGCGGTGCACTAGAACAACACGAACAAAACCACACCCCCAAACACGTTAGATAAGGTTTTCCTTCGTAGACATCAGCAGAACGTCGTGCATACCTTCTGCGTCTGCGCGTTCTGGAAGTCGATGGTGGGCAACTTGAAGCCGCAGCACATGGGTCCCGTACCCTGCTTTGTGTCGATATCAGCGTCCGCTTCATCACTCAACTGACTACGGTCCGACAGCAGCTCCTCCAGCGCCACAACGCTTTCACACGGACTGGTCTCCAGCGAAATCGACTCCACACTACCCGAGTGTTGTCGGGGCGACACATTCTTCACCACCACGTCCACCATCACTGCGTCCTCCACCTCTGCACCCTTCGTCTCCTTCTTCAACGCCTCCAACCTCCTGCGTCTTGCAGCAGGCGACGCCTCATCCTCATCACTGAACGTGACCTCCACCTGCTCGTTCGTCTTCTTCTGCCCGTCCTTCAGCAGCGTCCGCTTGGGACTCGCCACCGAGTCGGTCTCCGTCTCCGTTTCCGTCTCCGCCCCTTCAGACCCCACTCCATCCTCCTCCTCGCTCTCACTTTCTCTCTCTTGCAGCTCCGTCTTGCTCTTCACCTTGTCACTTTTCCTCCTCCTCCTCGACGCGCCTCTCCTCCTGCTCATCCTGGCCTTCTTGACGCCCTCATGCACTCCGTAGACGCCCAGCGCGATCATGAAGACCCCCACCAGCACATCCGTCACCACGTTGAGCACCGAGAAGTCGAGCTTTCCGTCCAGCGCGATGAAGAGCACGGCCATGACGATGAGCCCGATGCTGTGGCCGCAGCCCCAGCGCACGCCCAGCGCGAACGAGCGCCACGACGAGCCGGCGGACAGCGTGGCCAGCGCGCTGAGGTGGTCGGGCCCCGTGAGCACGTGGATGAGGCCGAAGAGCATGCCCGTGAGCGCCAGCTGGAGCGTGGAGGCCTGCGCCAATGCCGACGCGTCCTCGTGGGAGGCCTCGGCGATCTCCACGCGCAGCCAGCGGTGAGACGCGGTGACGTCCATGACCTCCTCCAGGCCGACCGACGGTTGTTGAATAACAGTGGCGACGTGCGTCAGGGGTGAAAGGAGCTGTCAAGAGGGACACGCGCTAAATTCTGTGATTGGTGCGTTGGGCTTTTTAGCCGCCATATGGCACGAGAGCCAGATAACGACAAGTCTCCGGTATTTTTAGCGTCGGCGGTTGCTATGTTTGGACCAAAAGGATGTTGCACTGCGCCTGGCAAGCAGTTAGAGACTCACTTTCATCTAACCCGTGGGCGGAGATCTTGTTGGAGTTATGGTGCTGGTGGGGCAGTTCGCTGCTCGGCAACTGTGTATGGGACTGGGCTATGTCTACCCGCTGTATGCGTCGGTCGAGGCGCTGCGCACGCGCCAGGAGCGGGAACTGTTGCAATGGATTGCATTCTGGTAAGCAGCACTTCACTTTAAACTTGCTGCAGTTGTTGTTGTTGTTGTATTTTTTTCGGTGGTGTTAAATTCTTGTATTTATGCAAATCTAAATTAAAGGGCGGTGAACGCCTTGTTCTGGGTCGTGGAGACCGTGGGCGGCACGGTCATCTCCTGGGTGCCATTCTACCTCGAGGCCAAGATCGTGGCGCTGGCGTGGCTCGTGTTGCCATCTTATCGCGGCGCACTTTTGTTGCATCAGAAATGGCTGGCCCCGGCCTTCCAGCAGCACGAGGAGGTCATCGACCACACCATCGCCGACCTCAAGCGTCGAGCTGGCGAGAAGATGGTGCAGGTCTGCAAGGACACGGCGGTGATCGCCCTGCGCAACAGCTCGGACGTCGTGGCTCAGAGTCAGCAGTACGTGGCGGCTCAACTGGTGCAACAAGCTCTGGGCAAACTTCAACCTGCCGCGCCCGCTGAGGCACCAGCTGAGAGTCTGCGGCTGCCGTCGTTGCTGTCAGCTGTGGCGACGGCTGCAACGGGCGCAGTCACAAGCAAACCTGCTGACCCCAAGCAAGAGTCACGTGACGAGCGAGCCGAAGAGAAGGAGAAGGACGCAACACGCTCGAAAAAGGAGTCAAAAGGTGAAACTGATGCTCAGGAGAAACAATCGTCGGCCTCGACTCGCACGGAGAAGGCCAAACAGGTCCTCGACCACTTCAAGAAGCTCATGGTAAAGGGGTTCCAGCTCAAGTATCACCCGTCAGCTGGGCTCGTGAAAGACCGCGCGTTGATGCTCGAGTCGCCCAATTGTCGCTACGTGAGCTTCATGAGCGCGAGGGATACTGGCTCCGTCGACAGCAAGAAGAAGGCGGCGCGTTTGCTGCTCCACAATTTGCGTCGGGTGTCTGCCTCGGTGGTTGAAGAGTCTGCGATGCACGCCAAGATGGTCGAGGACGAAGAAGTTGATGCAAAGAAGGCATTTGTACTGGACAACGGGAAAGCTGTCATGCTGTTTGAGGCCGAGTCGTTGAAGAATCGCGACTTGCTGGTTGCTGGACTTCGACTACTGATAAATGAACACAAGAAGCGGGACTCGGTTGCGATCAACAAATTGTGCTCCGCTGTTGAGCACGTTATGATGCATCAGGCGTTTACGCAGCTCCGCTCAAACGCTGAACGACGATCGCGCAAGTAAAATTCTCACTAAACACACTCGAAAATGTCGAGTCACACTTGCTGAAATAAGATGAATGAACGAATAAATATTTTAGTTGCTCCATCTGTCTCGCATTGTCTGCCATATCACAGTCGGCATCTTCTCCCGAAACCGAGCTGTTCCATTCGGAGTACGTTGCGAGGAGTACTCCATACCGGAATGCTCGTCTTCTGGAGTCGGCTCCTCCGTATCTGTGCCCCGCACACTCTCATCCGTGATTTTCCCACCACTCTTCTGTTGCGTTCGCTTGCGGAAGATTTTACGCCGCATTTTCAACATCTTGGGCGTGATCTCATACAGCTCGATGTCGATCTCCAACTGGTTAATGGGGTGCATGCCGTAGTAGTCCAGTCGGAACGGCGTCAAAATCCTGGACGAGTTGTCGTTGGTCTGAAGCCAACGCGCCACGCGCCTCGAAAGAATAATCTGTCCTCCGAATCCCACGTCGCCGATTTCGCGGCCGATGTACTCAGAGGCGCCAATGTACAACGCCTTGCCAGTCACACGATGGGTCTGCATGATCAAGTTGCCCTCCTCCGCTGCGCTTGTGTCGTGAATGCCCATGCGTACTCGAATACCACGGAAAAGAAGCTGCGGCTTTAGACCAAGGGCCACCTCTGTCTTCACAGAAGGCACGAGGCCTTCCAGCGCGGACGGCCACTTCACCTGCAGCAACTGAAGCTGCACCTCCAAGCAATAATTCACGGCGTCCGGAATTCTGTGGAAGGCCAACTGGAACGCATCTCCGGCCGTCGTGATCTCATAACCATTAAACTTGGGCAACAGAGAGCGCAGCAAGTCGTCATGGAGGTCCTGAGCCGTGTCAATTACAGCCTCCGGTGCCTGGGCCCACAGCGCGCTGGAACCTTCAATATCTGTATTCACGAACACGGGCTTCTCCGGTGGCGCAGTGGCCTCGTACGTCGCGTACGAGTCGTGTCTTCGATTGGCGCGTAGATTCGCCCACTCGGGCGAGTTCTTGATGTGCGTCGGGATGATCGGAGACAGCATCCTGATGCAGCACTGCTGACTTCCCCCCATCACCAGCGCCTGAGCAGCTCCGAACAAATAATACAGCATCGTCACAATTCCAACCACGTAGTCCGGGACTGCATCCACCTTGTCCTGCGGCATGCACAGCAGCGCCACCTGCAAGAAGCAGTAGGGCAGCGTGAAAACCGCACACACGATCATCAGCAGCTTGAGTCTCCGATACAGCGGCGAGGCCATCACCACGCCGTGAATGTGTTCATGTTTCCTGCCTGAGAACCTCAGCACCACCAACGCCCCCGTGGCGTAAAAGACCGAGAAAATAATCCCTCCCAGCTCCACGAAACTCAAATACTTGTACGCGCGGTTGTATCCGTCGTGAACAATGACGATCGCCAGTCCGGCGCCGAGAAATAATCCCACAATAATCCATCCGCGCCACACATATTTCACAATCGTGGCCTTCTCGTTCTGCTCGCCTCGGTCCAAAGTCCGCATCGCGAGCTTGAATAACTCTCTGGATAAAAGAAAAATCCAATACGCGCTCAGGATAAAGAACAGATTTTCCGCCAGGAGTAGTGCAGTTAACGCCGTAGACAGCGGGACGTCATCTTGGGTCAGTTTAGTAATGTACGCGGCCTCTCCGCCGTCGTCCTTGCTGTCGTTGTGCAGCAACTCGCTCATGGTCACGTCGGCCTGGGTGGTATCGGAGCCCGAGCCGGATTGGTCCTTAATCTGGTCAATTACTGCATAGATGGCGTGGATAAGGTAGGCGTAGAAGACGCCGCCCGCCAGCGCGTGCAGCGTGGAGCACAAGAGGAACATGGCGATGACGAAGCGCACAGTGGAGCGGAACATGTCGCCGCCCAGCTTGCGCATGGCCCAGGCGGCCAGCATCGTCATGCTGCACGAGAAGAAGAGCGTGAAGCAGTACGTGTACATCCAGGCCATGTTGACGCTCGAGTTGCGCACCCACACGGCCTCCGCAGTCGTCATGACCGACTCGGGGTGTTCTTGGGCAGGTTTGTTGTGTTGTGACTCGGGGCATCCACTGATCGTAATGTGGTGTTATATATTGGAGGGATATGTGTAAACAGAGGATAGAGAGGCGTACGAAAATGGTGTGTTATATAGTGGAAGGGTTCTGGAGAGAAAATTAAGAGGAATTATGACTGTTGCGGAATGAGACGGGAGACGCACAGATGGTGCCGGGTTGTGGAGAACGGATTTTTGCGCTGTGCTTCGCTGGAATGTCAGCTGACTGACACCTGGCAACCAACTCGAACGAGTTGTGCTGGTGGTGAGTAGTGCCATGCGTCAATTGCCGAGAAGGCATCGGCCATACACTTCGAAGAACATTGGGCTTCAATTAGTCAAGCGCCATCAGCGTCGGCGCGATTACGAGGTCCTGCACTGGTTCTGCGTGCCGAGTTTCCCTCCACCGCCTAATCTGCCGTCGCTCGTCGTGCTATCCGGATACGCGAAGATGACCGTCTTGATCAACGAACGGAACTCCTGCCGTTGTGGAGCTCAGGAACCTAACGGAACCCATTATCTCTAACAAACAGGGTGCCTTGCAGGTCCTGCCTGACACACTGGAACCTTGGGTTTAAGGTTTAAGTTAAGCTTACCTAATCCATGCCGGTCTTGAACTCATACGAGTGCGAACATATTGAATAATATGTGTTGGTCCAACTGGCCATTCAGTGGCAAACCTCGAGCTGCTCCACGTTTCATCTTGGTCTTTCGTTTGCTCTCCTCAGCAGATGAAAACACGCTCAATAACGCGAGTTTACTGTCCAGTGGGAATTCAAGCACTCGGTCGATCGGCTTGAGGTGGTGCTTTCGGAATTCTGCAGCGGTAAGTGGGTTGCTTAGGTTTGTCAAGGCCGGGAAAAGTAGGCCAGCGATCGCAGAGCATCCGAGGAATTGGCAGGTTAATTGTTCGATACTCGCTGAAGTTCATCCGCTCATCCATCGTTTCCTTTCCGCTATAGGCCAGCTCTTCCAGATTGGGGCATTTCTCAACGATCCTGTTGTCGTCTAGGTCATATCGGAGGTTGCTGAGGCTCAAAACCTTGAGCTTCAGGGTGCTTTGATGCTAATACCAGGCACTGCCTCCATATCTGCCATTCTCAGGCTGCCCAGCCCTGTGAACGCTAGCGATTCTAGCAGGGAGTACGCGCTGGCTCGCCTTGAAAAGACAGCATATGCGAGCCACTTCCATCGGTGAAAGCTAGGTTGAGCACCAATTAATTCTAAGCTGGACTTTACCTCTCGGGCTTCGTCTTCTTGTCGCTCACGTCATCTACCAAGCACTTCGCATTGGAATCAATTCTTGGGCTTACGAGTTATGTCTACACGTACTGCATCCGATCTGTTTTAAGCACGCAATTTGTGTAGATATCCGCCTTCTTTCGCCAGCTCATAGAATACGCCTTCAGAATCCTTCACGAGACTCTGGGGCGTGTCAAATTCCACGACTTCACCTTCGTTTAGCACCAAGATGCGGTCGGATTCCAGCACTGTCGCAAGACGGTGGGCGATTGTCAGCACGGTGGCGTCTTGAAACTCGCGGGTGATCATTTCCTGCAGCCGTTGCTCGGTGGCGTGGTCGATTGCCGCAGTAGCTTCATCCATCACCACGATGCGACTGCGGCTGAGCAGCGCGCGACCCATGCACCGTAACTGTCGCTCGCCCACACTGAAACAGACTCGACTTCCCCGCTCCAGTTCGACCGACGACGCCGACTTTCTTGTTACTCTTGATGCTGAAGGAGACGTTCTTCAGCACCGCTTCATCTCCGCTCTCCTTGTAGCTGAAGACGACATTATCATACACAACCGCCCCACCACGCGGCCATCCTGCAGCAGGTTCGACTTGTATGAGCATGTTGTGCTTGCCCTCTGGAGGGAGCGAAGCGTACTCCATCACGCGCTCAGGGCTAACCATAATGATCTCCACATACGACCATTGCCGGACAATGTTGGCCAGGCCTCCGTCGACGTTGCGAGCGTAGGTGAAGGCCAACCCCACCAGTCCTGGCGACAGGAAGGCTCGGAGATACACCAGCGACGACACAATGCCAACGACAACAGCACAGCCGACCAACTGATTGCGAACGAGATATCACTTCTCCGTGACTGTCTTGATATACGCGACCTTGTTGTACTTGTTGATGCGCTGGAACATCGTGTTCGTCATCCGAGAGACACAGTCCGGACCAAACGCTCGAATCACAGCAGCTCCTTCTTCACACTGACTGACAAGACTCAAGACGGGGGAAGATACGACTCGCTGCAAGCGGGTGATTTCGCTTGACGAGGACAAGTAAAAGTTCGCCACCTTGACATAGATCCAAGCGAGAGGAATTACGAGGAGACCCAAGAAATTTACCATATACGCTGCTGTTGCCAACTGGCACACGGCGACGAAGAAGTCCGCAAGAAATCCACCGTAGATCAACGGCATACGGAAATCGATCGAGCCCATGTCGGTCGCGTAGCGGTTCACGATTCGGCCGATGGGGTTCGTGTCGAAGAATCGCATGGGAGCACGCAACAGCGCGTCCGTCATGGCTCCAAAGAGGTATCTAGCTCCCCCGAGCCCGACCAACACGACGCAAACGGATCGAACCAGAACCATAAGCGCTCCACCGCCGCCTAGTAGCGCGTAAACGATGACGTTCCTCTTAGTGATTTCGTCGTCGATCTCCAGACCTTCGCTGGTCCAGTGGTTGAGCCAGAGATCGCTGCCAATCTGGAAAGCTTGCCACAACAACTGCGAACACGCACATTTTCATCCCGCCTAACGCCTTGAAGTAAGCCCAGAAGACTTCGCTCGCGACTCGTCCTTCCCGCCTCGCTTCGTCCTCCACAAACTGTCCCGTAGAACCATTTTCCTTGTCAATCCGGCGTTCGCTCTTCTCAGGTGCATCGATGTTAGAAGCTGTCTGGTGCTTGGAATAGGAACTCCGACGCTGCTTTGACTCGCGTCTTTCACCCTGAACGACGCCGTTATCTACGGCGAATCCAGGATAACCACATCGGCATCGAAGTAACAGGCTCGAGCTAAACTCACGCGAGCCTTCTGGCCTCCAGACAGGTTAACGCCCTTGTGTCCGATTTCAGTCGCATCTCCTGCTGGAAATTGAGCCAGGTCCGGCAGCAATTCACAAGCGTCGAGTACTTTACGATACTTGGCGTCGTCAAAGTCGCACCCAAACACGATATTATCGCGGATGCTCATGTTCTGAATCCACGGTTGCTGCGAGTAGTAAGCCACCCTCCCGCGGACAAATACATTGCCAGCGATTCTTTCCATTTCGCCAAGTAATGCTGAGCATAGTGACGACTTACCAGCCCCCACAGCTCCGCGGACAACCACCAGATCTCCTCGCTTGATGGTAATATTTACGTTGGCCAAGACCGGAGAGTCTGCTTTCCACCCGAAGCTCCCATTCTCGACCGATACAGCGACGTCTTCTGCATGCGATGGATCCTCTCTCAGTACATTCGATGCGTTGTAGTCCGCGTGAGATAGGTATTCTGTAATACGATCCAGCGCGACTTTGGAGTGAAGACATGCCTGGATGACGCTGGGGAGCTCTTGCAACGGGCCGCGTAGTGCGTTAAAGAGGGCGAGAGCCGTGAACACCTTGGCTGCAGTGAGAGGCTGCCCCATCCCCACCGAATATACAGCCAGCGAGACAATAGACACCATCAAGGGCGACGCCCACACCACCAGCTCCTCGAGAGAGCACGTCAGCAGGAAGGACCGCTGGGCCTTCATCTCCGTCGCTCGGCGGTCTGCAATACGCTCTGCGAATTTACCCTCCCACGCGTTAAGCTTGACGACTTGCATGACCCCAAACACTTCCTTGATGGCCTTCATTCGTCCGTCTCGCTGCCGCATCATTTCCCTGAACGCGTCGACACTCACCTTCCCCACGAACATCCCAGCGAGTGTCGAGGCCCCGATCACGCCCAGGCCAGCGAAGGCCGCGGCGCCAATGGCCCAGTAAAGCAGATAGACCACGCCGCCGATCTGGATCGGCAGGATCCACGCACTGTTGATGTAGTGCGCAACAGTGGAGACGCTGTTGGCGTCCAACGTGAACAGGTTCGAGATGTCGACGGCTGCGCTCGAGTCGGCCCTCGCTGCGTTCCGACGCAGTGTTTTCTGGAACAAAAGAGCCTTCAACGCGGCAGTAAGGCGCAGCCCAAGTACGTCGAGGTAGTACGCCACGTGGGCCGACACCAGAGCGTTCGCCAGTCGAGAGGCGAAGAAAAGCCCCAGCCAGACACTCAAGTCCCGCAGGTCGGTGGCTGGCGCTGCGAAAGCTTCAATGACGTGGTGCAGCACCACCGGTGCGAACAGGCCGCACGCTGCAGATATCAAGGATGCGGCACCGCAGACGGCCAGCTTTGTGCCGTAGATGCGGGCCACGGCACGAAACAGCGAGCCGTCGGACGGCTCCAGGTGCGTAAGGAAGTTGGCGAACGCCGTCTCCGTCCGGTTGGCCGCTTCTAGTTTCCATAGATCATCGTCCGTCAGGGGCCGCTCAGCTACGAGCTGCATCAGCGGCTCGGCGAAGGAGAAGAGCAGGCGAGAGGGACATGACGCGGCTTGAGGGCCATCAAGTGGGCCGAGTTGGGTCTGCTCGGAGTTGTCGGAACGTGGCGTAGGCTGGCCCCTTGCGTCCGGACTTGTCCAGCAGTGAGGCCATGATCCGCAGGGCCTCCGAATATGGCATTTTTATTTAGTAGGTTGGGCGTTGCTGAATAGATTATCCCCTGACGCTCCTACCAATACAACAGTACATTATGGCATTGCCCCCAACGTACCACAATAAATAGTATTATGAAAAGCATGAAGTCTATTAACACGACACCAGTTAGCTTATCATCTAGCTCAAATTGTCCACAGTCGTTGCATCCCAGTACGACCGATTCTGGCGGAGAAACAAAATCGTCTCAAGCGTGCGTGGCAGTAGGCCGTGTCGTTGATGACCAAACGTCACCCGAGCAATGCTGAAGAAGCGTTCCACCACGTTCGACGTGGGTGGGATGCTCTTCAGCTGCTCATACTAGACACGGTCCTGTGCAAGCCGCCGGCGCTTCCGAAGACGCTCCACGAACGACGCGGTTGGATCCTCCTCCTCTTCACTCGCGGCCGCGTCGTCCGGTCCGGCAGCTTCGAAGGGCTGCAAAGCGGCCTTTTCAGCACGCGTCAGCCGCTGCGCCTTCCCGCGGAGAACGCGTACACACCCAGCCTCAAAATCTGGGTTGTGCACAATGTTGGTCCGAGGCCCTGCAAAATAAAAACCATTATACAATTGTTAGTAAAAATATTAAACACAAATTCAACAGTTATAAACTTACCAATGTAGCGCCCATATTGTGACTTGGCAGCGATCAGCTCGTCGAACCACTCGCGAACGTCCAGCAGGTCGACGTCGTGTCTTGAAGGGCCTTCGAGACCGACTCGATGTCGCACAGCTCCTGGTACAATGCCCGCAGTCGCTTGTTCATCGCCGGCGGCGGCAGCAGGTCCATGAGGTCGTCGTCTTCGGCGTCAAGAAACTCGAGCTGGAGGTAGCGCCGTACCATCTCGAACGTAGAGCTCCAGTGCGTGTCCTGGCGAATGACAGGCCGAAGTGGCGTTTTCAACCTATTTTGTAAAAAAATTTACAAAAGTACACAAATTGTGTTAGAGACATATTGACACACCACACATACACATTAGCGCTTACCGTAGTTTGGCAGATTGGGTGAGAGTACGCAATTTTACCATGAGCGCCTGCACAGCAGCCAGGTCCTCCTCATGCGACGCCATGTCCGCCTGAACAGCAAGGTTCAGGCGGTGGCTTGCGCAACCAACAAGCGGCACACTCATAAGAGTTGCCAGCCGCCGGTTTACGGCGCAGTTGTCAGCTACGAGGAAGCGACACTGCGCCAGCTGTACGCCGTAATCGCGCGGCAGCATGGTCGTTAGAGACTCGAGATGGCCCTGCGCGGAGAGAACGTCGTCCAGCGCGTCCAGCAGCGGGGCCATGCTGAGTAGCGTTGTCTTGGGACAGCCGTTCACCTCATAGCACGCGAACACGGCGATGTAGTGCTCAGATGCGTGTGTCCAGCCGTCGAGCATGATGCCGAAGCGTGCTGGGAGCTCCGACGCAATCGAACGCTCGACGGCGACGACGATCCCGTCCATGCCAGCCCGCAGCGCTTCCTCCGAGATGGGGTCCAGGCTGGAGTAGCTGAATAACATCCATAAAGTAAAGTTGTTAGTTTCCGTAGTAATGTAAACACAATGACCTTATGCATACACGTACCGCCGAGCTTCTCGGCTCTCACAAAAAGAGAGTGGCAGGTTCCACATGACAATCCAAACCATCCAGCCGTGGAGATTGAGCGCCGAGTGGCGGACGAAGTTCACGAGGGAGCCTTTCTCCGCCGTCGTAGCGTCGAGCATGACGGTCTCGTAGTCAGGGTGCTCCCGCCTGATATGTTGCATCAGGTAGGAGTACCCGTTCCTATCGGTTTGCTTCCGAACCGTGCCGCAACGGCAACGGAAATACTCGAGAATCACCTCGTCGTTCTCGTCGCGACACGGGCGGAAGTAAAACCCCGAGACTTGGGAGTTCGTGTAGGTAGGGCGAGGGGGGGCGGATAGCGCGAACCATGCTGGATGAGGTCTTGGAGGCTTGAGAAGTGAAAATTGAAAAGTGAACGCTGCCAAATGAGCTGCAACTAGCAACGCAGACAACCAGTGATTCCAGTTCTTCTGAACGACTGGAAGCGAGAAGATGGCTGGTAAAACGCTACCATTATTATATAAAGGTAACTGTCATAAATTATGTAATATCACAAAGCACATCAATAAATTATCACGGTAGATGGCTGAACCCGCCGAAATGCGTAATTTATTGTTATTTTCTGAAATAATGTTATTGACAATGCTATTTTCGGAGGCCCTGATGATCCGTGGAGCGCACAATGGGGAATTTTCACTATCGCTCACGGCTGGGGGCCACAATTCATTCGTGTTCGACTTCGTTAAGGCGCTCCGGGCCTGTGCGGCCTGGAGCAGTCCCCCCCCCGTATGTTGGCGAAGCCGTGCTTGACGAAGGCTGGGACCCGATGAGATGTGGTAGACCATGTTGGCTGCAAGGCCAGCGAGAGTGTGCCCGTCGATGCGAGTGTACCGCTCGTACGCGTCGGATTTCCACCGCCCGAATCTCTTTATGGCCAAGCGGTCAATCCCGGCCGTGAAAAAAGAGGTCGCACCCCCACTTCGCATCGAGTGAGTGCCGTACCGGTCAGGATCTTCACCGGTTGACTTTGCTGCATGTTTGATCGCTACCGTCATGGCCTTGGCCGTAATAAACTCGCCTTGTGTCACGCTGCATATTGGTTCTTCTCTGGAGACGCCGATACGTTGTTGATGCTGACTTAGGAGCCACGCGGCGCGAACGGGACATGCCCACCAGAGTCCAGAGCGCTCGAGGATTCTGGTTTCGCCCCGCCCGCACTGGTCCGTTTTGCTGCCACGGAAAAATACTCGAACCGATGTCGCATCAGCTTCATGTTGATCTTGTTTTCCGTCTTGAGTGATGCATGTCACGTCCGCGTATCGTAGGATGTACGGCTTCACTTGACCTCGGTCCGCCAGGTATTCGCTGCGGCGCAACATAAAGAAGTAGCCCATGAGAGCAGCACGCACTCACGGGCATTGTTGAAGTTGCGGTCCTGGCGGAGTTGTCGGAGGATGCGTGGGGTAACAGGTTCTTTTTGGGTTGGAGGTGGTGACAGCCGTAGCATCCCTTGCACAGCGAGCTGGTGCCCCGCGTGGAGCCCAACCTTGAGTCCTCGGTATCGGCGATGATACCATGATACTTGGCTGAGTTTGGACAACACAGTGCTGGGAGCATTTCCGGGTTTGTTGTCGTGTGGGAGCCATCGGGAAACAGCCAATTGTTGAGAGTCTGCTTCGTTTTCACCTGCCAGCCACGGGGAAAAGCCTTGTGTGTTGCACCAGCTGCTCCACTCTGTCCACGTTACGGCATACTTGCGGTGGCTGTCATCTGCAAGTGATCGGTGTCGGTTGTTGCGCATTGCCACGGGCACAGTAGGAAGGTTGGAACGCTGGATGGCGGGGCCTAAGGCTCCGGGATCTTGGTTGCTGGAGCTTGGAGAGGAGAAGGAGATTCAGAAGTGGATGGTTCTCTTCTCAGTGCCAAGCCCAGCGACCACATTGATCCTACATGCATTGTATAAATACACTAGCTACTTCAGCTTCTTATTCTACTAGGATCCTTGCAGCGGACACGAGCATAAGACACAGAGGTCCTCCGGCAATCGGGCCTGTAGGTCGTCGAGAACGTTTTGTAGATGTGTCGTACTTGATCCGGATCGCTGTCCTGTGTCCACGAAGAAGTTGCGTTAGTCCATATTCTCGCGTGGGATGCTGTCCGCGCCGGTGACCCGGCATCGGCAAGGAGGTTGCAGTCACCAGGCAAGTGTCCAGCTGAAATACATAGTCCGAGGGTTGCTTCTGCGAACCCGATAGCACGGTTCAGCTCTTGGGCGAAATGGTTTGAGCTGTACAGGTTGTTGGTCCAGGCTGCTGCACTGGTATTGTCCGTCCAGCAGCGCACGTGAAGTAAATGTACACCGTCTTTCTTCCATTGGTGACCCCAGATCCATGTTGCGAGCGCCACGCAGAACTGTTCTCGGACATTTATGTTGAACCCATTTGATCCGGAGGTCTGCTCGATTAGCTGGTGCTCGTGCTCGTCATACAGCAACTGGATATACCGTCGTCGAGCGGGGTCGAGAACTGCGAGGCCCTCGTTGCTGGCGTCCATGTACAAATGGACATCGATAGCGGGTTCGGCGCATAACATTGATGTCGGGAGGGACCACCAGCGCCCGTGCGTGAGGATGACGTCGCACCATTCCAAGTCTTGCCGTGTCGACTCGTCGATCACAATGCTCCCCCATCGTGAAACTTTGTTGATAGACCGTTGGAGGCGCTGGTAGAAGGGTTTTGCACTCCTAAGACACGTAGTGACGTGGCGAAGGCTCCCCAATAGACACTGCATCTCGTGCTTTGACAGTTTTTTCTTCTGGGCTGTCTTTCGAACGCGGTCTTGGGCTTTCAAGAGCTTTGCCTGTGACATCGAGTCTGTGCGCTGGATGGTATCGAACTCCAACCCGAGAACTTCTACCTTCGTGCTCCACTCCGAAAACTTTCCTTCATTGATGGCTCGTGGACCAAGTACTGCAGTCATAGCGATTCGTAAGGCTGAGCTTGCTGCTTCGAGGCGACCAGGAGTGTCGGGCTCTACTAGAATGTGGTCATCGACCCATTCGTATGCGAAGAATGGGGTCGGATCTGCTGGATGTGCTGCCATCGTAGCAGGACTCTCGCGTCCAAGCAGCCATGATATCGCTCCGCCGAACATCCCGTAAAAGGCTGGAGATCCCGTCCATCCGAATGGGGCCGACATGTCGATGATGATAGCGCCCAGTTGTGCAATGCGTGCTCCCATCCAATGGACACTGCGTGCGATCAACATGATGTGCCGGAACGCTCCCTTCACGTCGCCTTTCATTACGTAGATGGTGATCATTGGGTTCTGCGCGTAGCACTCCTCAATTCTTCTCGCGACTGCCGCCACGTGCCGGTACCGCACCTCTGGGAACGAGCTTTTGTCCGATGCATCGTTGGTTGAGCTGCCAATGGGGTACGACAGGTCATGAATTAGGCGAGTTTCGAGCTGGGGGTCCGTGTTTGCTTTCGGGACTGCACCGAGCGGGCTGATTCGAATGTTGCCGAGTGTTTCGAGCACGTTTGCGTCCAGTACCAAATACTGTCCTCCGTCTTGGCCTTCGCGGACGCTTTTCACCACTGTATTAAGGTGGCGATCGGCAGACTTGTGATTTGTTGGAATGCGCTGCTGCTCCTGCTGCTCTTGATTTTGCGTGGACCATTGAGGATCAATGCCAAACCGTGCTGCGCTGCATAGTGAGTCGCGGTGCTCGAATCCCTCCAGTAGTCGATGAAGACGGTTCGGGGATAGCGCTTTGTTCGGGCGGGGGTCCTCTGGAGACTGGCCTCTTGCGAGCTCGACGACTTGTTCAAGTGTGGACTGACTTCGGGATATGAGGCGGGAGAACGCATGCTGCTTTTTGTAGTCTAGGCAGTATCGAGGGACCTTGCCAGTGTGATCAGAGGTCTTCGGCGCCGCGCTTGGCACTGCGATTCCTTCTCTCCGCAGCATTTGCGCTGTACGGACGTCGCGTTTGGTTTCATCTGCCTGCAGCTGGCGCTCCAGAATGGCCTGGACCTTGACGCAAAGGCATCGAAGACTGACATGGGCTGGTCGGTCGTCCGAAGCCTTGATGGTGTGGACACTCGGGCGCCAATGCTCTGGGAGGTTACCGCGCTTAGTCCGTTCGATAGATAGCGGTTTGCAGCTCTCTCTCGCCGGACCGTGGGCGCTCAGCTTCTGCTTCGTGATGCCTGGGTCTGCCAGCGCAGTGTTCATGGCTGCTGGCATAGTCAGGTGGAACGGCGCTTGAATAGGAGTACATCCCGTCGTTGATGGATGCGTTGCTGTCATACGCAGTCGCCCTTAAGCCACGGAGGCTTGCGTCCGTGGCGGTGGGTGGATCGCTGGGTCTTAGCTCTCGCGCGAAGTCAGGAGGTTTTTCCTTTATCCTGGGCGTTCTGCAGGTGCAGTTGGACTGTTGCGCTTTGTGTATGAGTAGACACGAGGACTGTCCTAGTTGTGAGCGATCATCACAACCCGGACGCCATCAGCTGGACTGCGAGAACTTGTCGCTGATCCCGCCCAGTTTTGTGTTGATGTAGTCTCGCACGATGGGGTCAATTGTCGCTGGTTCAAAGTGTACCAAGTTGGGGAACTTGCACACTGTTGGGTCCGCCGATGCACACCCTCGCTTCGAGAGAAAGCGAACGCACACTTTTTTTCCGTCCTTGCGTGGTAGCGCTGCGACGACTGCCTGGGGGACCTTGCGCTCCGACGGCTGCTTGACGTGTCGGACCTTCTCTTCTTGCGGTCGCCACCGAGAATCCTCGCGTGTAGACGTGCTCTGTGGTCGGTTTGACCGTTCTGACAGTGCGGTTATTAACAGGGCCTGAAGGTCTGGGTTGGTTGTGGTAAACCACCCGGTTGCCTCAAAACGGGGATTGCCGCCTGAGAGTGCATCCTGGGCCGCAGCATTGCGATAGCGTTCCAAGGTGGCGTTGATCCAAAGTACGAGAGTAGGAATCTCCTCAGGCAACCAGTGGTTCCAGCCTTCTAGCTGCAGAGCAAAGTTGTCGAGAGCCGCCGCCACCCGAATCGTTGTGGGATCACACATCTCGCTGCAGTACAGGAGGAAACCTCGCGTTGCCGAGTGCAGCTGTTTCCATGAGGTCATCACCGGCGGCCGCGGAATCGGTAGTGTGAAGTCGGTTGTGTCCACGCTGCCGGTGGCTGCGTTGCGAAGGCGATCGAGGTACCCGACGTGACCGAAGTGACTTAGTGACAACCCCTTAGAACCGAAGCCAATGTCGTACAGGCGGGTCAGCATCCCTGGGTGAAAATCAAGGGGTAGCGACGAAGTAGTCAGATACTCCATGTACTCCTCTCCGCTCTTACCTCTGTGAGGATCCGAGGTTATAACTTGGTGGACTCTCTCTTGGTCTGCGGTGACGAAGAATGCTTTTTTGTTGCGCTTGGCTGGTGCTGGATTGATGTCACTCGAAGCTGTGCGTACTCGGGTCGCTGGCAGACTCTGGATGGACTGCTGTCCTAGTGATCACTGCAAGTACGTTCGCAGGAGGTGCGGTCTCTGATCTCGGATGAATTCAATCAGTTCCAGCTCGGCTGCATCTTCGTCGGTATCGTTAGACTCAGTGGCTAGGTTGGGAACTGCCACCGTTTGCCGTGCGCTCGAGGGTGCATGTCGCTGAGTGGTCCGTAGTGGCGTTCTTGGCGTGTGCGTCGGTTGCTGTTGACCACGCGCTCTCTCGACTTCAGCATCTGACCCCTCTCCTTCGGATAGGGAGGCAAGGAACTCACGGGTAGTAATTGACGGGTACTGGTCGATGTCAACGCTGTCTGGGTTTGACGTTTGGCCCACCCAGGCCTGGAAACTGCGGGGTTCTTCGGTTATGGACTTGCCTATTTTGCGTAGCAACCCGTGCGGCGGTTGGCCTTGCAGCTCTTTGTAGAGCACGTAGAGCAGTGCGTGTCGAAGCGAGACGAGCTGTTGTGCCCCGGAGAGCGCGTTGACCCATTCTACTTGAGCCGTCGCAAGCCGCTCTACATCCATGTCGGATGCTAGCTCCTGCAGCCACTCTGGCGCTGTCGGTGGTGTACTCGCTGGTGCGCCCAGCGTCCCGAGCTTGGCCATCAGACGCTCATGTAGCTCCTGAAGCCGAGTCTTCGGCCACGCGCGTTTTGGCCAATCTTGGTGCCCAAGGGTCATCGCAAGTAGCGGGTGCACTTCGCCGACTAGCTTGCGTCGTGTAACGGACATGGCGCCTTGAGCAGTCCAGATGTCCAGCAACTGCTGGCTTGTAGGTAAAACTACAAATGACTTGCTAGACTACTTCTACTACCTCCGGGTGCTGGGATTGAATCCATGCGATGCGCCAGCGCATTTGGGATGTAGCCACTTGGTGCGATGCAGCACAGACCGATCTGAGCAGCGTCCTTGGACCACAATAGCCTTCCCGCTCAGCGGAAAACTGGTCTCCGTCCACAACAAGGGGCGGGAACCTTAATGCCCAGTGATTGGATCACTTTACGGCTGAAGAAATCCGATCTTGGACCGTTTTACCAACATTCTGAGGACTTGCAAATGCAGCCGGGTGGCGACGGCGCAGACACGAATCCAGTGGAGGCCGACAGTGAGTGCGCGATCGGCCACGCGGTTATAATAGGTGCCTGCATACGAGATGGCCTCTGTTGCAGCGCCAGTGCCCAAGAACATCTTGGCATGATGAACACGGATGGCAAGTTCTCGCTTCCGCGCAATGAATAGTTTCTTTTATCGTGCGTCACATTGAATTGAACACCGGTTGTGTCGATCCAAGACCAGTTGCTATTAAGTATCTGAGCCGTTTGTTTATTGTTCACTATCATACGACGACGGCCACTAGGATACAGAGCACCACGAGGCAGCAATCAGCAAACTACTCTATCACTGCTGTCCTCACGAAGGCCCAATATTGCAAGGCGATCCTTGCTCGGCAGTGGTTGGTCGGAGAAACAAACGCCTAGTAGCTTCAGCATCTTCAACACTAAGTTATGCATGCCCAAAACAACACAACGTAATGACAACGTTCACATCGTATTATAGCAGCTTATATATCAACGAGACCTGCGCCGATGCCGTCAATGCAACAACAACAGCAGCACCGGCCCACTAGCGCACTCAACTTCCCTACTGACGGCTACGGTAGCGCTCCTCGTACTCGCGCTGCACCTCGTCCGCAGACTTGTTGGACGTCTCCGGCACCAGCTTCAGCGACAGCAGGAAGAAGATGGCCAGCAGCACGATGAACGGAAGATAGCTGTAGTCGTCCAGCGCGTCCGCGATGTACGGGTACGCCACGCCGACGATCAAGTTGCACAGCCAGTTGGCGCCGATGCCGATGGACGTGGCCGTGGCGCGCACCGAGTCCGGGAACAGGTCGGCCGTGATGACCCACACGAGCGGCCCCAGCGTCACGCCGAACGCGATCACGTACAGCGCCGTGAAGACGATGGACAGCGCCGGCACGTCCACGAGGAACGCCACCGTCATGAGCACGGCCATGACGAACATGCCGGCGATGCCGCACAGGATCATGTTGCGGTTGCCGAAGCGCTGCGCCAGCACGCCCGTGAAGAAGGCCGGCCAGATGTTGATGAAGTTGATGATGAGCGTGCCCACGCGCGGGTCCGAGATGCCGGCGTCCTTGAAGATCGAGCTCGAGTAGTAGAACACGGCGTTGATGCCCGAGAGCTGCTG